ATTAAGAGTTTCATTTACCAAAAAGGCAGTCTTCTCTTTCAGCACAATTTCTTTCTTTCTGATCTCCTGTTTTATCTCTGCAATTAGCTATCAGGATAAAAGTATTTTATATTTGTTTGCATTAGTTAAGATATGTTAGATTAATTAAAGATACAACCAGAAGACCAATTGCTATTATAACTATTATTTGCACAAGACAGCCCAGTTATCATCCTTAAAATTACTTTATTCCACAACTCCTTCACAACACCAAATACTACAATTGTTTTGGATTGAAAACTTCCAAAATATTCCAATAATTTCAAAAAAAAGTGACACTATAGACTCATATGAAAATAATTTTTGATTGAGAGAATAGGGGAAAAAAAGCTAAACAAACATTCAGATAGACTTGCAACAGATGAAATGCAAGAGGAAAATTATTAACAGTAATAAGGCTTTCTTTACCTGACAGATTTATAGCTATTCAGTGAAAACTGTGTATTTTGAAAGGTTAAGTAAAAGATTAGCTACTGGGAAAATTATACTGTAGTTCTGATATTTGAAAAGAAAAAAACCAAACCAAGCAAAATCCAGATATGGATCAGTTCCAGCAGTTTTACCAAAGCACAATGATCAATCTGTTGATCTCTTTTTTGCATCTGTTGTATTGCATTCTCCCACTGCCTGATGACTTCTTGCCTTTCTTGATGAACTCGGCGACAATCTTCAGCTGCCCTGTCAAGCTCCATCTGTTTAAAAGAAAGTACCCCCATGATTCCTGGTGTTAAAAATGTCACATGTAACCAGGGATCTCCAAGAACCTTAAGCACAAACCTGAGCTGTTAAGGTCTCTGTAAGCTCATTATCAAGAGCTCTGCGCTTCTGATTTGCCTGTATGGTCAACTTTTCTACTTGAAAGGTTAATGCCTGAAAATGAAAGGATATGAAAATATCATGTGTTTGAAAATAAACAGATCACATCTTATAGATTCTTAAAGCCCTGGTACAAACAATTAGGGGTTGAATTACTGAGGCATCAATTTTATTCTGCTTTAGAGAACAAAAAGCTGACAGTTTAGCCTCCCAGATTTTCAGTCATACAATAGGTCATAATCACGTCAGCCCTTGGGACCAGACTGCAGCAAGGGCCAAGTAACCCCCCAACTGTGTGTAAATGCATATGTGGTGTCCTACTTCACTCTTCCTACTATGCTGTGTGACTGCTACTGTAAATGATAGCAGCGAGACTGTTTGTGTAAACTAAAGTTTTTGAGTTAAGTACTTAATGAGTAAAAATCAAGTTTCTCCTCACTGTATTTAAAGGCTAAAAAGAATAATAACCCAGGTTACTTATCTCTATATTAATAATATACTTGAGAACTAACCCTTAGAAAGTATGAACTTGTGACTGGAATCTCTGTTTATACAGATATATATGTTTATATCTTTCATTATTCCAGGTAGTTTTACTGAAGTAGCTGTACTTTGTTTTCAGCCATATTGACAAATTTGGTTCTAAAAGGGAAACCTACACTATTCATCTATTCATCCACACTTGGGGTGGATTTTTGATCCAGCTCCTCTGAGTTCAGTGGCACTGTTTTCCAGATTTTATTATCTATTTGTGCACCCTCTCAGAAAAATTTAAATTTTACCCAGACAAACAAGCAAATGAATGTCTTAAATCATGCCTTTCGTTGCTGTAAAAGCTGTTCTCTCTGATCTTGAAAATGAACCTCATATGGAATTGCACTGTTGTGCTAAATGGAAACCAATTTAAAAGCACTGTTGTACAAAATCTTGTTTCCATCTTATCTGACTCAGTAATATAACAAGGTCTTCAAATGCCCAAACAGTTTTCCATTTAGTTTCCATTTCTACTTACTCCTAGTTTCCCTTCATCCTGCTGTGCATACTTCTGGATTGCAAGAGCATCATTATCTGTACGATTTAGTTCCTTTAGCCAGCTCTCCAGGACTTCCTCATCACAGTTCATCTGTTCTTTTAAGTCTTCCAACTTCTGAATTGTTTTACTGATAGTATTCTTATGAAATAAGAGAAAATTAAAGGGTCAATCCAAAATGTCTAATATTCATTGACATTTTGATTGAATGTAATTGAAGCAATCAGTTCAGGCTACTGTAACAAATTTACACACATCTTGTCCATAGAACTGCTAGGTTTTTTATTAGTTGTGTGTTATACTTGAGGAATGCTATTGGATGTCCTGCTCTCAAAGAAGAAACAAGACAGTAAGTTGTCACAAATTTGAAATGCAAATAATTAAAAAAATAATTTAAATAAATTTTAAATGTGGGATATTTATTCCACATAATAAACTGATCTGAGGCATCAAAAGTTAAAGTTCCTCCCTCACATGCTAAGACCAAGCTCTTAGATCCTAATCCTACATGTCAATTTTCAAATGTCCCCACATGACTGTGAAGAGACTTCCTGACACTAAAATGGGACAATCTGCACCCAGCAGAATAGTGAGAATATCTTCATCCTGCTACCCATTTGGAGAGACCAGAGATTACAAACAGCCTTAATCAGAAGAAATAGAGCAAATTAAAAAAAATAATTTAAATAATTCATAGAAAGAAAAAGAGACATTTCCAATCCCAGAAAACCACCTATAACTGGATAACATTAGATTACTTTTTACATGAAACAAGTGTTTGATCTTGAAATCATGCCCAGAGTTTATTTTACGTGGAGAAGATTGCCACCAACAATTTAATTTTTAAACCATAAAGAAAATACCTGTGAGAATTAACAAGACAGTGATATGGATGTGTGGCTCTGTATCTGGCATTAGGAACAAAAGTCTTTCAATACCTAATTAATGTTTGCTAAGTCTTGACAAGTCTAAGCAAGGAGATCCTCAGTGTCCTTTTATTTACCTTCCCAGGGAAAAGCACATCCAGGTCATCTACTACAGTTCAGAAGTTTTAATTATAATTAGCTATTCTTGACTTATATTATTGTTTCTGTAAGTGCAAGTGAGGACAAGCTATAAAATTTTGCAATACAAGTGTTCTCTTCCAAAAATTTTAAACCTTACTTCTTGTCTGTTTTTCTTTTCTCCTAAGGAAATCAACTCATTTTGCAGTCGTTTAAGGTCGCTTTTGAGACGTCCACATTCTCTCTCAGCAAGGGCTTTAAAGTGTTGTTCAGTTTCAATTTCATTCTCTCTGGCTCTGTAAAGATACTGCAGAATAATGAATTGCAGCATTTGACAATAAACAAAAGGTATATATCAACAAACAAACTTTTTTCTACATACAATCAAATCCCAAGTCACAGATGGTGTGATTTCACCATGTAAATGTAGGAATTTTCAGAGAAACTTTATTGTTTGGATTTTAGTATCTCAAATACATGTATTCTTATATTTTTATATATATACATATACACACACATACGCACATTGTATCAAGTATCCACAGATCAACCATTTATAGCCCTAAAAACTCTTAAGATTTTTCACCCAAGATTCAGAAATCTTAACCTTTCAACATCAAAATCTTAGAATCTTAGTCTCTTAATCACTAGTGACTTTACATCAGGTTCAGCAGGTGCAGGAAAATAAAATAAAATAAAAAATTATTGTTTTGGGATGAGACAGACCTCCACCAGGCTGGCCTATGGCAGTACCTCTGTATTGTCTAATCTTTCTTTCCTCTAATTCAAATTAAAACTTGAATCTGGCACACAAAAAAACCCCAAACATTAAGATGTTATTCAGCTGCAGGGAATAAGAGTTTTTCACCTAGGAGATTTTACCTAAAGGGGGTAAAGCTTTGACTCCAGACTCTTTAGAAATCTAAACTACCCATTTTGGCCAATTAACTCAGCGTGTAAGTGAAGACTTACACTTTAACCATGTCACGTCATTTTTCAGGTCTGTAAATTAACTCTTCACTAGCATTTCACCACTGATTCTTGACCATTATAAAGAGTATAAATTTGTTCTTCCCATACACTGATGTTTTGTTTTCCTTGATCAATTTTTTCTTAATAATTTCGAAAGCCCCCATTCATGAAGAATTCTAAAATATATCCTCCTTGGCTTTCTTCTAGGTACATTCATTTGACCTAGGGCGATCTTCTTAATGACCATCAGATAATATCACTCAGATATACAGTTTAATTTTTGTTTCTTGTGGAAATCCTGGGAGAAAAAGCCTAAAAAAAAAATCTCTAACAAAGCTGGCAAAATGTACAGGGATACCAGCCACAGAGAGACACTCAGGTTACAAGTCTGTCTGATAAAGCAGATCAGCTTGTGGTGGTGATTTACCTGAGAGAAGCTTAAGTCTTGTCTCACGTTCTTCAAATGAGCCGTCATGGCTTCTATGCGCTCCTTAAAGTTGGTCAGCTCATTCCTCAGGTTCGCTTTTTCCTTTTGCATCTTCTGCAGCTGTTTAAGATTAGAATCGCCAAGTGACTATTTGCAGCTGAGCGCTTATTACCTGCAACTACTTAAGGATAAGTCATTGCGATTATTAATAAAAAAATGTAAGAAGCACACGCTGCGTTCCTGCAAAGCATTGAAATGAGAGGTTTCAGGGGAAAACCCCGAGCTTTGCTAAGGGACCGCACAGATCCCGCTCCTCCTCCCGGGGGGCTCGGGGGATGCGGGTCCCACGCTCGGAGGCAGGATCTCCCTCCCGGGTGCCCTCTGCAGCTCCGCGGAACTCGTAGGTTTTCCCCCCATCCCTCCCTCCCTCCCCGGCCGCGGGGGGCAGGCGGGCTCCGCTCCCTCCCGGCCGCAGCCCCGCGCTCACTTCGTCCTCTAGCGCCTTGTTCTCGGCGTTGGCCACGGGCACGGCGTAGGAGCTATCCCAGCCGAGCTCGGCCAGCACCGAGGCCGTGGAGGAGCTGTCCAAGCTCTCCATGGCCGCGAAGGTGCCGCGCAGGGCCGGGGCTGTGGCGGCTCCGGGCGCTTGGCAACGGGCGGCAGCGGGAGGCAACGGCGCCTCAGGCGGCACCGCCCCCGGGCCGGGCCGGGGCACCGGGCGGGGACAGTCCTGGGCTCGGTGCCTGCAGGGTCACGGGGGCCTGGGGCCGGTTACCGTGTGCGCAGAGGGGGTGTCAGACCCAGAGCCATTGGCAGCGCCTCAGAGCCCCCCCGGGCTCAGCTGCTCCCTGCCAGCGCCAGCCCGAGCCACGGCTCTGTCGGGTCTGGGGTCACACAGCCCGCCTGCTGCTGGTGACACCAAATAGTTCTGGGGTCACACAGCAGGACAACATGCTTGCTGCTGGTGACACCAAATAGTTCTGGGGTCACACAGCAGGACAACATGCTTGCTGCTGGTGACACCAAATAGTTCTGGGGTCACACAGCGGGACAGCCTGCCTGCTGCTGGTGACACCAAATAGTTCTGGGGTCACACAGCGGGACAGCCTGCCTGCTGCTGGTGACACCAAATAGTTCTGGGGTCACACAGCAGGACAACATGCTTGCTGCTGGTGGCACCAAATAGGTTTGGGATCACACAGCGGGACAGCCCACCTGCTACTGGTGGCACCACGTAAGAGGGGTCTGGGAAGGTACACAGTGTGTGTCCTGTTTCTGAACTATCTTCACAATTAACAGGTGGGTTCCTGAGCCAGATTGCGTTCAGGTGTCCATAAACACTAATGCTGTGTCCATATGAACATGGATGTTACCTTTTGTACCGATCTGTACTGCTGGGCTGCAAATAATCACGTGTCATTGAGCTCCACCCTTCATGGATGGAGACAGGGACACCAGCCTTGGCAGGAATCATAGGATCACAGAATGGTTTAGGTTGGAAGGGACCTTAAAGACCATCTAGTTCCAACCCCCCCTGCTACGGGCAGGGAAACCTTCCACTAACCTAGTTTTCTCCAAACCCCATCCAGCCTGGCCTTGAACACTTGCAGAGATGGGGCATCCACAACATCTCTGGGCAAGCTGTGCCATTGCCTCACCATCCTCACAGCAAAGAACTTCCTCCTAATATCTACTCTGAGTCTATTCTCTTTTAGTTTGAAAATATTCCCCCTCGTCCTGTCATTACATGCTCTTGTAAAAAGTCCCTAAAAAGAGGAAGCATAGTCTTGACGGAGAAACCCTGTGTTGGTGACTATTGTCTGGCTGAAGCATCTGAAAAGACATTAAAGGAATTAATCCAAGCATGATTAAAAAGTGCCTGAGCAAAACAGCAATAAGCACTGGCAAATGGTTGGGAGATGGTTTGGAGGAGCAAGGAGTTCGCAGTGATGTTTGTTACACAACGAGCCCATGGTATATTAGCAACACTGCCCATAGCAGAAGACACTGATCTTGCTAGATGTCTGCATGTGGTATGGGGTATTTTCAGAGAAGAAAAAATTGCTGAAGACAAGTGAAAGTCAATCCTGATAAGGAGGCACCAAAATGGAGACTTGCAGTGTTGTGCAGATTATCGCTGGTCGCTTCACTGATCATCCCCTGAGAAGAGTCCCACATTATTATTATTGAAGTATTGAAAGAAAAAATACGAACAATGTTCGGAAGCAACAGTTTCTCTAAAACAGAGGAATGGTACAGGGTTCAGTTCCTCAAGCTACCTGTGGAAAAAATACAGACCTTGTGAGGCAGATCTTTTTTGCCCCTGTTGTCTTACCTGGCATGATGGACTGTGGATGTTTATAGGATGTGCTGAATAATATTTTTGACCTGCTGGAGGGTCCGTGCCAAGAGCCAGGTATTGCAGAGTGCAGTGACCTGACCTGACTGAATGAAAAGGGGGAATTCGAAAGATGCTACAAGCTACTAGAAAGATGTCAGAGACTACAATGGCACATCACTGTGTACATGGTAGCAACCCCTTCCTTCCTACCCAAAACGAGAACCTCCTTTTTCTCACTGCATGTGAAAAATAAATGCAACTTGCCTTGCAGAGATTTTAAATTAACATCTGTAATTCAATGTGGCATTGCAGTGATGAGCACCTGATAATCTTGAGTTGAGCTTGTGTGTGAAATAACATAAGACCACATAGTGCCTGAGAAGAAGAAAGCAAATTATCAGATAGCTGTTTGTTATTAGATGAGCAGGTAGTCCTGTTTGCTAAGCAAGGCTTCCAGTGAAAAATGGTGATTTATAATCACGTGCCATAATGTATACATGCAAGAAACCTAATTAAATCAATCTTGATCCAGTAATTTAATACACATACCAAACTTTTGAATTTTTGTAATCATAAACTTTCTGTTCATGTTTTTGTGAGCGCAGATTTATACATAGTGTCTGAGAAGTATAAAGTGTTATATGAGTCGAGAGTATTAATTCACAATTTGCATGGAAATTCCAACACTTCAGTTTCTCTTGCCTGACCCTGACTAAACAAATCTCCATGATATGCTTTTCTTTGTACAGCTTTTCCCTTCTCCAGCCTGTGGTAATGTGTTGTGTAAATGCAGAACTGTTTGCCAGTCGTGCTAATCCACCAGATGGTGCTGCGTGTCTGTGGATTTCAGGGGGGTTTTGTTGGTGTCTCTTAAAACAGCAGCATTTATCAACTCCTCAGTTAAGAGGGAATATATAATTCCTATTCCTAAATATATATATAAACGCAGGATGTTGATTTGTCTGTTTGTTTGTTTGTTTTTAAAGTCTAGCTCTTATTTTTAAAGGTGTTAGAGAAACAGAAGTACTTGTAACGTAACAAGCTATTTTCCTCCTAACATTCCTTATAGATTCAAATTTCACTTATGTAGGCTGCTGTGCCCATTTGTTCAAACTACCTAAATGTAAACTCATTGTTTCTGTCATTTAAAGGACTTACAGCTCCTCTTGTTCCTGCTAAAAAAAAAAAAAAAAAAAAATTTGTTTATTTGTTTATACCCAAGCTCCTTAAATGGTTATCTGTGTGAAAATAAAGATTTCAATTATGATTTGCTTCCTAACAAGTGATACTTTTGTTATTTAAAATACAGGTAAACGTTTTTTCCTGGCTGTATATCTGAGCTACCTACTGAAAAAACGACTCATTTAAAAGGTTATTGGATTATTTATAACTAACCCAGCGTAGACAGTTAGTTTCATTTAATCACTGTTTATAATAAATTTCCCATGTGAATCTGCAAGTCACAGGGTGTTTGATAATGGGATGTCATGGCCCACACTGTATCTTTTCTTTCCGATGGGTACAGACACAATGGAAGAAACAAAAATGGGAAGAGACATTGAGGGGACCGCACAAGTCAGTGTGAGATCAGAACATGTAGGAAGTCTGAAGGGTGGAGGATCTTGCATGATAATGACTTGTGTATTGACTAAGAATCTCATGTCTATACTAAAATCTGGATCCTGACTGAGACGGGAGAAACATAGTTGCCTAAAAAGGAGAATTGCTCGTAATCCAGGTCTGATATGTTATCAGTGAATGACATAAATTGTCAGCAATTTAATATATTGGTCTTAGGGAAAAAAAACCCAAACCAAAACAACAACGATTTTGAGCCAAAATGAAATACCTCTGAAGTTTGAGGAAATTTAAATTTGTCAACAGTAGATTCTCTTTGGCCTGTTCTCTACTTTTTGCATAGTTTTACTGGCAAAGGCTGTGGTTTTACTGGTACAGCCCAGTGGCTTTTGTGTGGTGGAGATGGGTGCAGAGGAGAAAAAAACCATCCTTTTGCCGCAATATTCATTTGAAAAGCTACTATAAAACATTGTGACATAAGGCAATTTATTTTTACTTTTAGGACCTGATTTTCCACCAAGCCCAGCAAGGGGCTGTGACAGGAGTGCCTTTGGGGCAGGCAGAAGTGATTTGTGTGGGGGTCTGTGCAGCCCCTCTGGGCACTGCCTGGCAAAGGGCGTTGCTGTGGCTGCCCAAGAGCTGCCCGGTGGGTTGGGATGTGCATTTGCCAAACACTGCTCAGAAAATGTTCATGTAAAACCATTACCAGGTTTTATTTAATAACCTCCTAACCCTCTCTCTCTCTCCTCCTCCTCCCCTCTGTTCCTCTAATGCCTTTTACAGCTCTTGCTGCACAGCGTGAAGCCTTAGAGCTGTATTCATCAATGACTCACACCCTTGCTTAGGGGCCAATTTTCATGGAAGCTATACAGGAAAATTTTGAAATGCACCTATCTCATGCAGGGCACAAGATGATTTCTCTATTCATTACTATTCCAAAAGGACTTGTTGTCCTTTGGAAATGGTCAGATATTGCTTACATTTGTGTGTGCATGCAAAGCTAACTTGCCTTTGGATTTGAGTGGTCTAAAAATAAAAATGTATTGTTATTATCATTGACACCAGTCAGCTGAAAGGCAACTAAGGTCCTGCTTACACTGAGTGGAAGCAGGCAAATGCAAAAGAAAATGCAGCAGTGTGCTTTGGGTGAGCAAATCCTACAGACTCAAGCACAAAACTTGTTAAAGTTCACCCTTTTGTTTGATGATATGAGTATCAGCCTTCTGAGGAATTTGGGAGTAAAGCCACGGACTTACTCTGAGAAACCAAACTGCACTTTTGCCTCCAGAAGTTTTTTATGTAGGTCACGGTCGTAGTACATTTCTAAAACACTACAAGAAAACATGTTCCTTTCCTTTAAGACATCACATGTTAACTCAAGTTTTTAGCTCTGGGGAGAAGATAGAGGTAAAATTATTAGCCCAAATGACCCTTTGCTTTAAAACCCACATGATAGAAGGGGAATCTTTACTGCAAAATTGCCAGTTATAGAATAATTGCATTTTCAGGGGTTGCTAATTATATCCAAAATTACATTAAACAGTTTTGGGGAAGGGACTGAGACTGCTTAGCATAAAGCAGTTTATTTACGCATGTACAAAGTAGCTTATATCCCTAAGGGATTAAACTAATTGCAATATTTTAATGTGAGTTGTAAAAATTGTGTCATGCAATGATGAATCAGAACTTGCAGGAAAAAAGAGGGCAAAATACACTTTTGCTTTTCATAATTTTTCCAACAGGCATTTCAGATCATAATTCTAAAAATAGCTTTTTCCTTCTCTTTGTTTCTTAAACAGAATGGAAAAATCCCTTTCTGCAGATCAAGCCCATCCACTGACATTAATTTTTGCCTTCGATCTGCTCAGGTGAGTTCCTCAAGAATGTGTTAGAGACCAGATTTGTTTTTTCCATATTTGTGGATGTTGTTTTTTTCCAAAGTGGATTATGCTAATAACATAACTTTTGGCTTGGCAGACAAGTTTTGTCCTAACGAGAGAGCATTTTCTTACAAGAGTACACAGAATTACCAAGCTCCACATGTATGTTACACAAATCAGGAAAATTCATGACCCTGTCAAAGCCAAGAAATAGGCAGAGTCCTGTGAATACAGTAGCATGATCCTTGTTTTAGAGATGACAAAACACAGGCAAAAAAAGAAGATAAGTGAATTCCCTCACATTGCCCAGAATACAAAGTAGGAAATTAAAAATTTATTCTTTGCCTTTTATTCTCAGGCGCAACTTTAGTACTTTTATGAAGTAATTGCTGTTTACCTGGGTAGCCTCTAAGTTCTTCCTTTCCAAAGTCCATTTGTGCTGTAGAGAGTATGTAGGGATTGTAAATATACTCCTAAGTAGCATTCCACAGTTGAACTAATTGCCAGGCCAAGCAAGAGACCACAGTAAAGGGGTGAATAATTTGATCCAAGATGGATTTGTACTCTACCAACACAGCCTGAAATCTTCTAATGCTTTTGGATTTGATTGTGAGCTGTTCATTGTTGTTTGAGCCTGTTCTTTTCTATTACCATATTTTCTCTGGATATCATTTCTGTGTACCTTATCTTTGTATAAAAGGCCACATCTTTACCATATTTCCAGGGAGTAGTCAGTAGAGGCATACAAAATTTACTGCTGTAGACCAAAGTAAGACAGATAAAGGTAGTGCATTACAAAGTTCTTGCCCTCAATCATGCAGAAGGCTCTCTATGCTTCTGTGAGCAGTGGTACCTATGGGGCTGCACTGTAATGGGAGAAGGGTTAACAGCAAACTAGGACATTTTCTGCAGCAAAAGGAGATGGAATCTTCTCTAAGCAATTACCTTTTATATGATAAACAATGTCAGTGGTCAATAGAGGGAGTTTTCTTACCCTAATCCCCTTCCATTCAGCTTAAAATAAAAATGCTATTCGTTTGACTAGCAGGTTGGGGTATCATGAAGCCTGGTCATACCTGTTTGCATGTTACATTTATCTACCAGCAGAAGGGTTACTGCAGTAGCCTTTCCTTAAATAAAAAAAGCAATACACTAATAAATGCATGTTACAGCTTTAGTGGTGTAAGGTGCTTTTGTGAGACATGTCTATTGACACGCTGCAGTCTTTTTGGAATACAGAGTGCACTGCTATTTATTACAGATTCTATTGGCATCATGAAGTTGTAAGTAGCTTCTCCTGTACTTTTAGCTTCTACTGACTCTGAAAATCCAGCTTTAATTACTAATGGGTAGTATACAAAACAATTTCCTTCTGGTAAAGGATGCACATAGTCTGTCATCATTAGATATCTGCTGGCACTACACGTAGCTTGTGCTTTGATCAGCCCTTAGGGAAGGGGAGGTTTGATAAAAGAGAAAAGCCAAAAGCCATTATACATACTTAAGGTACTGAAGAATTTAAAGATTACAACAGCATATCCATTTGACCATATGAGCTGTGACTTTCAATGGACGTGATGTTCCTCGTGGATGTGGTGAGATGTGACAGAATGGCCACACAGCTGAGTATTCCATAGGTGAGTAGCCCTCAGCTCAGTTACAGGACACAGAAAAATCAGAGCTTCAAGGCAGCATGCTTATAGCTTTCTCTGTCTATTGTTCTTTCTAGTGGAGTGCAGCTACTGTGATCTCTTTCCTGACCATCAGGTTTTTTTGTGTCTTCTTTTTTTACTTCAGAAATACATTTATTTGAATCAGAATTGAACTCAAAAAATAAAAATGGGGCACAACATTTGAAATAAAGAAAGTCCTACCTAACATTGTGAAAGGTTATATGCAAAAGTAGTGAAAACTGCAAATGGATCATTTTTATTTTTATTTTAATATTTTTTCCTTTTGTTTGTTTTTTTATAACTTTCTTTAAAAACAGTGTAATGATAAAGCTAGGGCAGTGCCATGGAAGGCCAGAGGCCTTGCAGTTACAGGAATCTGATCAAAGAGAAGAACCTTAGGCTGGCCTTAGCCACAGCCATTCCCAGCTCTTTGCTGAAGTCTGAAGCAACTACAATTTCTTCTATTCCCCACTTCTGTCTGTGAATATTCAGTGCTTGAATCCTGCTACTTCTGGCTCATAAAATCTTCTCTGTAGAAAGTTTCTTCATTTTCTTGGTTTTCTTTACTATCTAGAAATTTTAGCAAGCAAAAATTTTTACTTGATAATATTCAGTGCTCCAGAAGGAGGGTGTCTATTGGTCTAAACTACAAACTTTACAGTGAACCAGATCCTTAGCTAGAAAAAAGCACAGAGCTCTCCTGAACCAACAAACCTATGCTACAATTTACCTGGTGCAGACTGTGAACTGCAGGAATTCAACATGGAAAATGCCACTGTAAGAGTGTGAGAAATGCACATAACTCAGCAAAAGTACCTTCATTCTGTCCCAAGGGCAAGATCCAAGGATTCTATCTGCATTGTAGTATTTTTGGAATTTCTTCTGCTTCAACAGCCAACGATTACAAAATCTTACATCTGTATATTATAGTTGGAATAGTCCAATGTACATTTCTATGGAGGCATGAAAAATTATACATTCCCTATCAAACTTACAGTGAGGCTATCAAGTGTTTTGTACGGGGAGATCAGATGGCCCCAAGACTTGTTGCTGTGCTTAGTATTTGGCATGGAGTGTCAGCATCTTCATGCAGTAGTTACTTGATGTCTCTAAAGTGCATATTTGCTGTCATGTTACTGCTCTGTGTATAGTAAAATGCTATATAGGACATAGCATAATCTTGTTTGATATTATGATCCTGTAATTTTCTTTAAAAAGATTAATGTTGTAAATACTGTAAATTTATATTAGTAGTCACAGTAAGCTGTTTAAGGTTTATGTGGAGCAGCATTATTTATATTTATAGTCAGTGACCCTGATACCTTGTACTTAGAGTTGAGATATTTTTATGTTAATTTGTTTCTTTATTTCCTTGGCCTTGGCTAAAAGAACCCCAAACACTATTAGACTTGATTTTCAAAAGATCTTCCAAACTACATATATCTACAATCTACTCATAGATTTCGGAGGTATTTTAACACTTATTGCCATTTCATATTGCCATTTAAGTCATTAGGGGGTGAGTAAGGTACACCTAGAGATACAAAACATTATCTCTGAATTAGCCTCTTTGAAGTGCATTTCATTGCTGTATCAGTCATTGCAGACAAAGGTTCTGAGCCCAGGAGTACAGATGAAAATGTATACAAACCTTTTAAAAGGTAGAATATTTGAATTTAGGTTGCAAAATAGACAGTTGCATGAAATTATCACTCCTGTCATGTCAGCTGAAATATCAGAAATCCTATTTCTAATCCCCTCCATGTAATATGGCACGGGGACATAGATACACATCAGCCATAAAGAGAGACAGTACAGCCCTTCCAGCAGACTCCGCAGGCTGCCTACAATTCAGTGCCCCTCCTCCAGCCTCTCCACCCACTGTTTGAGCCTCTTGTTGCCCTTCCAACACCTAATGCACTCCTGACACAATGGAGGGGGGGGCAGGAGCAGTGTGCTGAAAAATTAGGCACTACAGACAAAAACTTGACAGACTGTCTTGCTCCCAGTGTCACAATATGAACCAGCCTGGTAAAAAGTAATGGCCATTATCCCATCTCACTGAATGACTTAAATGACTTACAGACACATGTAGAGAAAGTTCTTTGGACTACTTCCATGGAGTTTTTTTTAAATTTAATTTGCATGATAAGATGTACAAGCCAAGGTTTTTACAGTTTAAACAGCTTCATTTTTCTCTGACTCCTGTATAAAATATGGATAATTTTACTGGAGTCATTGGAGTAACTTCATTATCAAACGGATGTTGTGAGAGCACTTTCACAGTCCTTAGGCAACTTTCCAGTTGTTGCTTCTCTATGCTCATGGTGAGCTCCTATTTACATCTTCCCTAAGGCTGGAGTTTCTAGGCACACTGGGCACCCACCCAACACTGTGTATCTGGTGTTCTCAGGAGAGATGGTCCTTACAGATCGTGCCAGTGTTGTACAAGACATAACTTGGGTCAACATCCAAGATTCTCATGCACCCGAGCAGCTTCTGTGTTGGCAACTATCTGGAAAATGTAGGTATTCTAATAAGTACAGTGTTGTATTTGCACCTTTACAAACACTGCCTCAGATTCACTTGAATGTTTTGTCTTTGATTTTCCAGGCTGGTACCTATATCCTGGTTTGCTGGCCATGCCTCTCGTTCGTACCTTTGTCAGAAATCCTGTCTTGGACTTAAGATGCTTTTCTCCCTGAAGTTTCACTAAAATTGGTAAACTCCTGTGAAAAGTTTCAATTCTGAGAAGAACAGTTTTCCTGAGGAATTCCCAGCAAGTTTTTTACAACAGTTCTGGTAAAAGCAACTGTTCTCTGTCTCCATGTCCAGTTACTCCTGCTAATTTGAAAGCATAGCCATGGGCTTGAGAAAAGCAGCTCTATGAGCAGAAGCAGCCAGAGTCTAAATGTAAGAGGAGAGGAGAGGGACCAAGAGCTGTGCAAAGCTGCAAAGGTATCACACAGGAATTTGAGGCACCAAGCCTGGCTATCCCCTGTTGTGTCCTACAGCTTCTGTAATCTGACCTGAACAGTAAATCCTCCAACTACTTACAATTGGGGCCATACATTTACACATGTACAAAAGCCAGGAGAAGGTTGCTTATACCTGCTCAACCAGTTGCTGTTAGTGTGTAAAGCTGTTAAAAAGCACACGTGGAGCAGCCACGAGCATGATGTGATTCCTGGGCTTTTCATCTGCCATCCACACTAACTGCCATCTGGAGTGCCCATGGACAGTGTGTGTGAACATAAGGTTTTCTCTGGGAGTACCTTAAGCCGTGCTTATATGAACAGCATGTCTACTCTGAGAGCACATTGAAGTATGACTTGAGAGGCAGCAGAAGGTGCTGTTTGTCTTTTGTTTATTGCTAATGCAGATGAGATAATGTAAATAATGGCAGGCCAAAAAAAAAATTCAGATTGTTGCAATTGCAACATACTAGTAACTGCTTTCTTCCCTTTGCACTGGAAATGTATTTAGCAATCTATTCCCATTTATTATTTCTGATGGAAGCAAAATCTTAGCACATAATTAGCCAATATTTCATATACCTGAGTCTATGTTCATAGTTCCAGCAGTATCCTCCATCTTTTCTCTCCTCCTTCTCTTTTTTTTTTTTTTTTTTAATTTGTGGTTAGGCAGGGTTTACTGTAAAATAATATTTTTGTGAACTATTACTTGCATAAGATCAAATAATAATGTATTCTCTTTTATAACCTTTGTTCTGATGTGCTAAAATCATATATTTTGGCAGTGTAGCACTCTGTTGATGAAGCCTGAAGTACACGAAAATATGACTGGAATTCATCATCAAGTAAAGAGTGTAGTGAATTTTGCACCAAATCATCACAAAGTAATCTTGCTTTTCTCTCTGGTCTTACTCTAAATGTGATTTGCACTCTTATGGAAAGAGGACTTTGTGATGGTTTTGATGTTACATACAAATGGTCTTGCTTTGTAAAATTTCCATTATGCCTGTTTACGTTTAGCAGCAGTGCTATTGATTCAAGCTGTACTGATTGGAAAGTAGAAGTCTTTAACACTAAGCCCCTTCAAAGTTTTTCAAAAATTTGTGGCATTTTGCCAGCATTGCTCACAAAACAGCATAGAGCTGCTGGGAGGAAATGTTCCAGCTGCAGGGATAACTGGAGCCAAAAAGTAACATCCAAATAGAAATTATCCAGTTCGTGATTTCACTTTGATCACCAGATGTTTGTCATGTGACTTCAGCATTAGAAAATAGGAGAGAGGAGAAAGTGATGGTGTGATGCTTAGCTTAAATCTGACACAAGAGCTCATAGCTCAGCAATAGGTATAAAGAAACAGTTATTGGCTTTTCCCATTTTCGTTGTGATATTCCTTGTTTTACCATGATATGGATTAGAGAAAACTATGTCCTCATGCAAAGTTTTGGGTTGATTTCTCAGTTCTTTAAACTCTGAAAGACTATGGCAGCAGAGCAAGATATACTCCAGATTACTAGTATAGTTATTCTGCTTTGGTTGGTAATTTGTCTCTATCAAGAGTCTGACTGTTGTGTACTGACGACAGCAAAACATAAAGACCACTATTCTTGGCTCCCAGGGATTGCAGATTTAAATTTGTATCTTTTTCCCAGTTTCAGCATTGGCATTCCTTTTGATTTAACTTCCTCCAATACAGTGTACTTGAAGGAGCTTTTTTCAGCTTCTCCTGGTTAAGAATTAGTTGAGCCATTTCAAAATGCATAGAATTGAAAGGACATGTTAGAGTTTTCAAGTCATAACCTTTTATCATCTCTGTCAACCATCTCATATAATGCAAAGCTCCATCTAAAATCTCCTTATGATTTTTGCTCTTATTAACCTCATAGGATGGCTGATGCAAACTTTTGGTGCTCTAGGGATTAAAAAGTCTCTTGAAATGTCCATCCTAAACTTATCCAGGATCTATTTATAGATACTTATTCTCATAATTGAAAACTTATATGATGCATGCCATAGATTTTCTAAGTGCATTATGACAAATGACTTAATCTTTATGTTTGACTTATCCCAAAGCAGCAAGTCCTCCCCCTACATCCTCTCCCACCTGGCCACACGTTTGTGTCCCTTGCTGCTTCAGGTATTGGTCAGCTCCTTTACTGATCTATGTCAGTACCTTTGTGTAACAGAAATGTGCTTAGTTTTCAAGGGATATTTTTGTGCTGGAATAGTGAACTAGGCCAGCTCAGCAAGTGGTGTAGGAAGCACATAGAGAGGACAGAAGCAGGGCCTGGCAGTTCTTTTTCTGGTTTAAGTTGCTTTGGAATTATACCCTCAATTCTAGATTGATAAAGATATGATAATTCTTTCTTTTCCATCATTTTGACCATATTATCTGTTTAGATTTTAAGTTCTGCAGATCAAAGACTGTGTCTTTTAGTGACTTGCACAGTGACAACAGTGGATCCCCACATTTAGGTATCAAGACAGTACAGATACAAGATCACCATAAAGTCTTTTATGCTGACCTTCTATCACCCTCTTTGTGTTGTGCTGCAAATGTATCCAGCTTTACTGAAAACAGATTATATTCTCTACTGTTTACTTTCAGCTTATTATTTATCATTATATATGATATAATGTGAATTTTTGATTATGTGGACTTCATTTTTCAGTAATGCAACATCATAAGTTTCACTAATATAAATCCCCACTTTTCTTTGTAACGTGAAGTTTTTTTACTTGTGAACTTCTTTGACCTATTTAGCAGTCCTAACAGCAAATAGTATTGATCCTTTTTCTCTATTAACCTCTGGAGTGTGTGATATAGGCTTATAACATAGATTTTAATGTATGATAAAATAATACCACCTATTAGCTTGGAATCTGGACAGAAAAAATATGTACTTTATAATAGGTGCTTTTAGGTGAAACAAAATATTCTTAACATTTTTAACAATTCCTGAACGTACTGTCTCCACCCTTCACTGTAGTATTTTGCATGTCTGGTATTTCTGGGTCTCTTTCTCATAGCACTGTTGAGAAAATTTCATGCTTTCACATTTTTCAGCTGTAATACTATTTACTTTGAAGAGAACTGAATATCCTCTAGTATTCTGCCAGGTCCCTCTCTAGACTTCCACACTGAGGTAGTTTTATTTGATCCTTTTATGTGAAAGATTAAATTTCCTAGTGTTGTATGGTGAGATGCCAGTGCTTATTTTCATGGAATAATCTCATGGAATATTCTGTGTTCCAAATTATTTTCACTCAAATTCAAAATGCCAGTAGCCTTTGTTTCGGTAACAGAACATCTGATTTGCTCTTGTAGTTCCAGTTCTCCATCTTCCATTATGGAGCCAAACCCTTTATTCTTTCTTACAAAAATTATAAATAATTAAGAATACTAATATTTCAAAGATAAATAGATAAACTTATATTGAGTTGATTAATGGGAAGGAATTGACTGAGGAATTGTGAATATTCGTTGGTTTTCAGGTGTATGAGTTTGAACTGCACTTAAGACATTTATTCCAAAACTTTATGCAATTCAGTAATTCCTGACTTTCTGAAATGTTCATTTAACTTTCCATATAAGTGCTATAGGTGTTTCAGAGCCTGATCACACTTTCTGTGTTGAGACAAATATTTCCTGTCTCCAGTGAGGAATTTTACATTGAAAGAGGTTTCCCCTGTGATGGGAGTTTTGACTGAAGAGAGGAAGCTGGATCAGTCCTACATGTTGTAGAGACTTAAAATCAGAAATTAATATGCAGTAGAACTATGACAGTGGCTTTAATTCTACTCACATTAATTTTCACTGTTATTATTAATTAAACCCTGAAAATCAGGGATTTAATGGAAACTCTGACAGACCTTTAATTATAGCATTTCAACAGTCTTAGAGTATTGGATGTCCTCTACTAGTGCACAGGACATTCTGTACTTGAGAGGGTATAGAAAGAAGTCATAGTTTGTAGTGTGCTTTATGTTCAGAACATTTTTTAATTCATTATAGGCTTTTACTCAGTGTTGTCTGCTGCATCTGGGTAAGTTATATGAAATGAATACTTTAATTGTTGTGTTCAGGAACAGTTTGGAAACAGATTTTTAATTTTTTTTTTTAGTGGAATTGCTCATTATTGTTCAAAATCATCTGTCATTGTTTTAGGAGAATGTATTTCAATCTATGGATTTCTCAGGAGCTATTTATGTAGCAGAGTGCATTGTGCTCACAGATATGTCTACAATTTATATTATTTAGATTGCAAATTTCTGACAGGAAGGATGACCTCTTTTATTCTCTGTCTCTCTTAACATCTACCATAGTGGGGTTCTGACCAGAATTCCTATGTGAACCTGCAATATGAGCCATAGATTACAGTAATTCATCTCAAGTGATTTTGCATCACTGTGTTTAAAGTCCTTGCATTATGTGTGTTCCTTTAAAGCCTCAAGATGAAATGCTTAGGCCTTGACTGTGCAGGATAGGAGAGATATCAGAGTGCATGGTGTGATTTACAGATACTGATTGTCAGGAGGGAGAGGAAACCATGGGGAATAGTCAGATATTGTGGGCAGCAATAGTATTCTATAGTGTTTAGTACACTGCAGTTCAATTCATTCGAGCATACAACCATATAATATGCATCTTTGTGTGTGAAATTCAGTATTAAATCCTACCTGCTAATTTTTACCATTTTATCACAAATTTTGCAACATATACTTTCCATTAAAGAACATTCCTGGATTCACACGGATCTATGATAACTGAAATTGTCATGGAAGTGTGGGGGAAGATGGATGTAAAGTTTTAACCCTGGAGAGTAGAAGGTACAGCCTAAAAGTCTCAAAA